AGTGCTGGGATTAAAGGCGTTCGCCACCACTGCCCGGCTCATGGTTTTCTTAAACAGGCTGTCATAATGCTCACACACAGATTCACACATTCACATGTCCACATGCTTACACTCACACATTCACAGTTCACATATATCCAAATACTCAAATGCTCACATGCTCACACACAGGCTCACACACATTCATATATGCTCGTTCACAGTAGCATACATGCTTACATATTCACACATGCTCATATGCTCACAAATGTGCATGCACTCATTCACATACATGATTATACACACAAATGCACAAGCAACCATGTACATATGCTTTGGACACTCACATGTGTGTACATGCATACCCCCACACAGGCTCTCACACACACATGCTCACACAGGCACAGACATACTAGTCTGGATCCAGCCAGTTCTGCAAAACTCAGACCATGCCTGCTGTGTTTCCAGTCACTCCACCCACACGCCTGCTCAAGGTGACACTATCTGAGGCTTGGGATCACATCTCTATGTGGGCTAAGCCAGGACTTTCCCTGTTTCCTCTGGGTAGCACATCACGTCTCGGACAATCCAGAGCACTGACTCCTGAGGGCAGCCTATGAGTCAAGTCCTTCACAACACTTCTCTCTCCACTGACCTGACAGTTGTGAATTAAATCAGCAGTCTGCCATGGTTTAGAAAATTAAGTCACTGGGGACTGGAGAGGTAGCTCAGTAAAGAGCACTGGTTTCTCTTCCCAACTCCTGGCTGTGATCCCAGCACCTCACTAACAGCAGTTTCCTAACAGCAGTTTCCAAGAAGCTCATGCCAGCTTCTGGCCTTCTTGGTACCAGGCATACAAGTGATGCCCAGACATACATGTAAGCAGAATACCCATGCACACAAAATTTTTAAATAATAAATATTTTTAATTTAAAAACCTCTTGAAAAGTAGTTAAATCATGATAGTTGTAAAATATTCACCCATCCAGGCCAAAGAAAAACTAAGCTCTATATTGCACAGACTGAGTAATCTCTTCAGCCCAAAAGAACTCTGCTGTGGTGAGCTGCCCCAAGCCACTTGATTCTCCAAGACTGAAACTACCTTTCCTGGGCAGAGGATGGGTTGGCCCCAACCACATCCTCCTTGGGGACAAGGCTTCCAGGCCATGCTTTCTATAGGCCCCAGCTTCTTAAACTGTAGGTCTTGATCCCTCATGGAGCAGCATACTCACAGACTCAGACATTACCACTCCCTTTCTAGCCAGCTCTGCAAAACTGGAAGTGTGGGGGCAGGGAAAAAATGGCAACAGTAAAAGGTTTCTAAGCACACAGCATCTGTGGTAGTTTGAATGTAATTGGCCCCTATAACCTCATAGGGAGTGACACTGTTCAGAGTTGTGGCTTTGTTGGAGTAGGTGTGGCCTTGTTGGAGGAAATGTGTCACTGTGAGGGATGGACTTTTGACAGTTCACTTACTGTTGCCTGCACATCAAGATGTAGAAATCTGAGCTCCTTCCCCAGCCCCAGTCTGCCTGCTTATCACCATGTCTCACCATGATGACAATGGACTAAACCTCTCAAACTGTAAGCCAGCCCAATTAAGTGCTTTCCTTTAAAAGAGTTGCTGTAGGGCTGGAGAGATGGCTCAGAGGTTAAGAGCACCGACTGTTCTTCCGGAGGTCCTGAGTTCAATTCCCAACAACCACATGGTGGCTCACAACCATCCGTTATGAGATCTGGTGCCCTCTTCTGGTGTGCAGATATGCATGGAAGCAGAATGTTGTATACATAATAAATAAATAAATAAATCTTTAAAAAAAAAAAAAAGAGTTGCTGTAGTCATGGTGTCTCTTCACAGCAATAGACACCCTAACTAAGACAGAAGTTGGTACCAGGGACTGGGGTTTTGCTATGACAGGCCTGACCACGCTTTTATTTGCTTGACCTTGGAACTATAGTTTAGAAAAGCAGTTGAACACTGTAAGTGATGATTAATGGGCCACACTAGTAGGAGCATGAAAGACAGTGGTGCTGAGTATGATTTGATGAACTGTGGGAGCCTAGCTCAAGAGGTTTCAGAGGAGAAGAATTTTAGTATGGTGCCTGGAGATCGTTCTTGTAATTTTACAAGGCTTATATTCACAAGGCTCATTCTTACACACTTGCAAGTTATAATGCTCAGTTTCACACAGACTCACATATACTCATGGGTTCACATGCTCTGTGAAAGCCGGCGTAAGAAGGCTGTGAACTTACGGTAAACTATTGATGTGGCAGAACACATCCATATAGCACACCCAGAGCACACAGTTATGCTCTGCTTTTGCCCTTGCCTGAAATGTATGCCTGAGGCTAAAGTGAAGTTTTGGCTAAAGTGAAGGGAATGTCCAAACAGCCTAGTATAGACTCTGTTGTGTGGTTACTAGTGGTAACTCTAATGAAGATTTATAATGAAAAGGAGCAAGCTGAGCAAGGAAAAGTACAAAATGTACTTTTTTTACATTTGAGAAAGGGGGTGCCAGGAAGTGGAACAGAGCTAAATCCTATGTTTGAGGAGACAAACAGATTAAGAAGTGGAATAAAGGAAGCGGTGAGCTCAGGGCAAGACCCACAAGTTAAGTTTTCAGCTTGTAAAAAGGAATTAAAGAAATGCTTAGAGCCAGGTGTGGTGATACACACCTTTACTCCCAGCACAAGGCAGTGAGAGCTGGTGGATCTCCAAGTTTGAGGCTAGACTCTTGAATTTTTAAATGCATTTTGCATTATGATGTTGTTACAAGCTTATGGGGACCAGAGAGTGGAATGTGGTAGTTTGAATGTAATTTGTTCCCATAAGCTCATAGGGAATGGCACTATTAGAAGGTGTGGCCTTGTTGGAGAAAGTGTGTCATAGAGGTAGGCTTTGAGGCCTCCTATGCTCACGCTAAGCCCAGTGTAACAGTTTACTTCCTGTTGCCTGAAGTTGTTCAAGATGTACAACTCTCAGCTCCTTCCCCAGAACCATGTCTGCCTGCATGCTGCCATGTTCCACCATGACAATAATGGACTAAACCTCTAAAACTGTAAGCCAGCCCAATTAAATGTTTTTCCTTTATAAGAGTTGCTGTGAGCTGGGTGGTGGTGCACGTCTTTAATCCCAGCACTCGGAAGGCAGAGGCAGGTGGCTCTCTGTGAGTTCGAGGGCAGCCTGGTCTACAGAGCGAGTGCCAGGATAGGCTCCAAAGCTACACAGAAAAACCCTGTCTTGGGGGGAAAAAAGAGAGTTGCTGTGGTCATGGTGTCTCTTCACAGCAAGAGAAACCCTAATTAAGACAGCATCCCAGCAGCTGGAGAGATGACTCTGGGGTTAAGGGCACTGACTTGCACTTCCAGAGGACACAGATTCAATTCCCAGCACTCACATGGCAGCTCACAACTGTCTGTAACTCCAACTCCAAAATCTAACACCCTCACACAGACACAGATGAAGGTAAAATACCAATGCTCAAAAATAAAATAAATTAATTATATAAAAAAGACATCATGCCCAAATCAGTTTAAAATCAAATGCATCATGAATCCAGGATGTTTCTGGCTGTGTTCATCCATAATACATCATCAGATTCACAGCAGCCTCAGTTCTGAACACGAAGCACACATACTATACATGCCATCATTCTACACAATTCCAACAAATACAACCTGAAACACCTCAGCTAGATTCCAGATCACTGCATATCATAAACTGCAATGATTTTACTATACACATAAAGCTTTCTGTTCTTATAGAGACAACGTGGTTTTATTATTTAAAAATGCATTTTCCTATGATCATTCTTCAGTATGTAAGTCTCAAATGGATTATATTTGTTAGAGGGTTTGATTTTTTTTTCCAAGACAGGATTTCTCGCTGTAGTCCTGGAACTCACTCTGTAGACCAGGCTGGCCTCTAACTCAGAGATCTACCTGCTTCTGCCTCCTGAGTGCTGGGATTAAAGGTGTGCACCACCACTGCCCCGGAGAGTATTTGATTTTTAAAACTACTCTTTGAATTGCTGACTTGAGTTTCACTTAAAAAACAAATCCTTGAGGTGCTGGAGAGATGAGTCAGTGGTTCAGAGCACTGGTTGCTCTTCCAGAGAACCCAGGTTTGTTTTTCAGCACCCGCATGGTGGCTCACAACTGCATCTAACTCCAGTTCCAAGGGATTGGCCAGCCTCTTCTAGCTTACAGAGGTACTAGGCACATATATGATACGTATACATACATGCAGGCAAAACACTCATATGTAAAATAAACTTTAAAAAACTGTTAAGTGGACTTTGGCTGGAGATTAGGACAGAATTTCCAACAATTTCTGATATTGCCTAAACACATTCCTGGCACATATTTATGTAGAAAATCAATCAACTCTGAAAAACCTTGAGGATGCCTTTACATCCTGCAGTATCAAATATTCAGTAAAGATCCTTTATGCAAAATATGCAAGTAAATAAGCACAGGTATCCCATTAGTATGCAAATGAAATGTGCTTTTGTCTTAATAGATGGTTGCGTAACTGAATGGAGACAGTTTAAGACATTCCACTGCAGAACAAGACACCAGGCCAAGAAAGGTTAACGCTGGAGCCTCATAGTCCCAGACCTGGGGCTAATCCCAGCTGCTATTCATCAGTTCTGGCTATAGGGCTAGAGCCTAGACTTCCCCATCTATAAGAGGGAAATGTGTCTAACAGTACCTCCTGACAGGACTAAGTGTGGCTACTGCCTTCACAGGCAGATGGGAACACAAGCTGAACTCTGCAGTCTCAGGGAGAGGTTGTTTAGCTGGCTGGCCACACCCAGACTTCAGTAGGGATGGGGATGGTTGAGCTTCCCAAGAAGGCATCTCAGTCCTGCCCTTATGTGCTTCGTCTACCTGGTCATGCGCTCTCTCTGTCAGGCACTGGGCCAGAGGCCCCATGTAGGGAGGACAGCCCCCACTGCCTCTCACAGTCATCCAGCCTCCCCATTAGCCCACCAGAGGAGTCCTGGTCGATAAATGGGTCCTGATGGGCACATTTTTTTCTCCTGCTGAGCAGTTTAATGGCAATTAATTTTTTTACGGGAGGATTTTTAATCTGTGGAAATGGATGGAGTCCCCAAGTGCCCTGTCAAAGCTCCAGACTGACCTAATCTATGATAAAAAATGCAAAGCGAGGTGATATAATCTGAAATTAAATATCGGCTTCATTTTCCTTTGGCCCGGATAGATGAATATTTTATAACTATTGTGATTTAATTTTTTGTTAACTACAGCAAATTTCTAATTCATCCAATTCCCAAGTCCTGTGGCTCTGACCCCTGAACTCAAACTCATCTCTCCTTAGCCCAGCTGTGGCTTCATCACTGACAGAAACTAATGGTCACTACCATCAGGGTGACATAGTGACTGCGATGATGAATGCAGCCGGTGGCATGCCCTCTGACCCTGTGTCAGGCAGACGGCAGGTCATTTTTCAAGCAAGCCATTAAAACAAAACAACAGAAAGCCAGGATGAGGGAGATGATGATGCAGAAGCGGCTGTATTTAATGCATTCTCGGGGCCCTTCCAGATTCTTGTAGTTTCAGTGTCTCCCACTCTTGGGGCCCAAAGGTGTTTGTCCTTCCCACCTTATGTCCCCTCTGGCCAGCTGGAAGGCTTGTGTGCACCCTCTGCTAAGCATGCAGTGGGCTAGGCAGAGACTCATTATTCTAGAAGATACGGTTTTGCTTGGGAGGCAAGATACTGAGCAGAGATGGAGGTGCGGTCCAAATGCTGCTGGGTCCAGAATGGTGACCTCATGTGAGTGGGAGAACCGAAGCAGGGAGATTCCCAGAGGCAGCTCAAAAAGTACTCCCAGACCCCATGTGGCCTTTATCCTTAGTCTTGCCAAACTGACCTCAACGCCAGTGGATAGTGATCTCCCCGCCTGGGAAGTCTTAATGGTATTTCTGAGCCCAGGCTGAAGAAGCAGGGGCCTCAACAAAGGACTCAGGCATGGTCTCAAATACACCTGGCTCTCCAGCAGGTAGTACAGGCCTAGATGAGTCAGCGCCCAGCCCATGTGGCCCTGAGCAGGCTGCCAAACCTCCCTGGGCCTCAGTTTTCACATCTACAAAATGGGAGCCAACCTATCTCGCTCTCAGCATGCCTCAAAGACATCCAAGATCCTTCCTGACTCCCTTCCAACAATCTCAAAATACTCAATCTGCTCTTTCTCTGGGGTTCATGGATCCAGCTAGACGGAGGGAGCTCTTCAGGTCACCCTCATCAGTTATAGAAGGCAGCACACTTGCTGGGAGGCTGGGTATCTATAAGGATCCAAGCTTAGGGAAGGGGTGCCCTAGATAGAAACCCACCAGGCTCATCTGCCACCCACAGGGTCACCAACTAGACCCCTGAGGACCTGCCATTAAGTTGACAGCCACCTAAGTCAAGGTAGAGCACTTGCAGGCAGCTCACAGAGCCCCATCAAGCATGCTTCCACCTACAATCCTGGATCCCAAATCAGGGAAGGCACATCCTCTTCCAGGCTCCTGCCAAGGACAGCAGCAAAGCCTCAACACACCTCAGACAAGAGGAGAGGTGGGGTTCCCAGGGTCCCCCATCTTTCCAGCGTGTTTCTGCTCTGAGGTACAATGGGCGGAGAACATTTGGAGTGTGGCCAAATAGCTTGATGTCAGTCCAGTCTGCAGGAGTTTAAAGGACAGCTCACACCACCTGGGGAGTTGTGGGCTTCCCCTTCACAGGAGGGATCCTCAGATCCCAAGGTCCCCAAATCTCCTTGCATGTGGCAGAGCTGGCAGCCAATGTCCCCAACACAGAATCAAGAGCCTTGCATCACCCTCACCAGTAGCAAACCTCACCTCTGCCTTTGGCAGTTCTGCGCAGGACAGATGACTTTGGGATCTCTCTTTTGTAAGAAGCACTTCTGGGTTTTTTGATGTTTGTCCTTGGAACTGAGAGAGGAGAGGTGGAGAGAGGGAATGGAGAACCTTAATCAGCCAACCTGTAAGTAGGCAACATTCTCACCTTGACACTAGGGCCTGGGTTTGAGCCAAGCCCCAAGGAAATCCAGGTACAGCATCTTTGCCCTGGACATGGCTCCTACCAGAGAAGGAAGATGGAGGCTGGAACTGAAGGGTCCAATCTCTGACTGACAGACATAGTGACATCACTCTGATGAGGGAGAGCCCCTTCAAAGCCCCACAGTAAGTTTATTGGCCAACCATGGTGGACTCATCCATTTGGGAGGCTGAAGCAAAGGATGAGTTCAAGGCCAACCTAAGCTATGTAGAGAGGGCCTGTCTAACAGGAAAGAGGAAGAGGACTAAAAGGAGAAGAAAGAGGAAGAAGAGAAGCAGGAAGAGGAAGTAGAGGGGGGAGGACATGTCCTGTGGGATTCCTGTCATGTGACATGCCCAGAGCTACAGAGATAAGAAGCAGACTAGAAGGTCCAGGCTTTCCTGCATATCCTGCTCCCAGAGGAAGAGGGAAGGAAAGTGTGACGGCCAAGAGCTGGGGACCAGTGGGCCTGGGAGGGCTGTGACTTCTGCATTCTGAACTTGACCGGTAGCCCAGTAGCCACACTTGTGGTATGGAAGAAAAGATGGCTTATCTGACAGCTGATAGAGCAGGATTTCATGAAGGCAGAAGAGAAGATAGGGCAAGGCTCAAGAAGGTCCTGTCTGACCTGTCCATCAAGCAGCTTGGGACCCTGCCTACATCTGCCATTGACTCACAACCACAAGACAGGGTGTGCCCCTAATATGCCAGAAGCTGTGGCTGCTGTCCAACAGGTGCCAGTTGGAATTTTGATCAGCCTTTATTCTAGCTTTGCTAGGGATCTGCCTCTCACCGCTTCCTCCTTCTGTAAGAAACCCTCCTATTCTCCTGAGATGGAGAACTTGGAGGCCCCAAATGCCCAGGGTCTACATGATCTGGGGGAGTACCAAAGCACCTGTGCTGCTATGCCTCCCCCTCCTCTCCTTTGCATCTACAAAAACTACAAAACATCCAGCAGCCCCTGAGCCCAACATCCTCAGACAGGGTTGAGGCTCCTGCCACATCTCCATCCATACTCCTTTATTGTTAATCAGAAGTGTGGACAAAACCATAGCTGTTGTGATCTAAGTCTTTCCACCCATCTTTCAGCACCCCATGGCTAGGCAAGGTCATTCAGAGCACTGCCTTCCATCTGAAAAATGGAATAACAAGCCTCAGGGCTGGCAGGGATCAAGAGGTGTAGGTTCAGAATGGGGCTAGCCTACAAGGCTATGGGGAGGACCTGGCCTCTGTACAGAGGACGTCGTTGCTAGGAGACAGTTCCTTGCTTCACATTCCTACCTTGACTCCTTCACTTGAGAGGCAGAGAATGAGAACCCAGGCACCTAAGAATGGCAGAATGTCTCCACCAAATCTCTGAGTGACCCCTTTCTAGCCAGGGTCCTTTCTGACCATAAGTGTCCTTATTAGCCTCAGGGTCCAATCTAGAGCCACTCACCTGAATTATGGCACTGGGGAATCCTTGAGAGCTCCTGTCCCAGTCTGAAAGATGCCCTGTCTTTGCTTCTATGTTCAGCTGCGTGAAGAATGCCTGACCCTGGAGAAGAAAGGAAAAAAGAGAGCAGAGTGAAATAATTTCCAGAGCCTTTAAATTGTTCCTTTGCTCAACACTGCAGGCCAGAAAACATCTCACAAGGCCATCTGGACACATACCATGGTGACTAACTGAGAAGACACACATCACTTTCATCAAAGCCAGAAAAAGCATCTTGCCCTGGAAGCTTTCTCAACTATGAGCAGAGCCATCTCGTGGGTAAACTTTCTCCTTTTTATACAGTCTAGGATCTAAGCCCAGGGAATGTTGCCACCCTTAGTGGGCACCTCAATTAATACAACTGAGATAATCCTGGGGCCGTCAAGACGGTTTGGGGGTACATGGCCATGGAAGTTTGGTTTCCTGAGTTCAATCCACAGAACCCTCATACATGCCCACCGTACACATACATCATTCACACACAGAGAATTCTTTTTAAAAATTCATCTCCCATAAGCCTATTGCCCAGGTGATTGTACATCTCAGGTGATGGAGGATGTCCTTCAATATATATGTTTCTCTTATTGGTTGATGGATAAACACTGTTTGGCCAATAGTCAGGCAGGAAGTATAGGCGGGGCAACCAGATCAGGAGAAGGCTGGGGAAAGGAAGGCAGAGGTAGGCCAAGGAGAGACGCCATGTAGCCGCCAAAGGATTAACAGGTTAGGGCATTCTCCAATAAGCCAAGACCACGTGAAAATACATAGATTAATAGTTATGGGTTAATAATTAAGAGAGAGCTAGCCATTAAGAAGCCCTAGCTGTTGGTCAACAGTTTATAAATTAATATAAGTCTTTGTGTGTTTATTTGGAGTTAAGCGACTACAGGACTAGACTGGAAAGAAACACCAGCAACACTCAAGTTGACAAGTGACTTTGGCATAAGCTCAGGAGACCAGAGTACTGACATCAATGTAGACAGTAGAGTCTGTGCTCTTGAGGATCTGGGTCCTTCAAGGAGTTAGACTCGAGAACTTATGTATTGCATGGTAGCTGCATTTTGTCTTCATTCTTAAGACGGTGTATGAGGCTGAATCTAAAAGTGATGAATTATTTAATTTCACAGAAGAAATTTCAAGGCAACCCAGTGTTCAGGCTATAGCATGGGTATCAATAGCTTTTAGCCATGTTTACAGTGAAAATCAGAAGCAAGAAGCAGAGAAGGATTGGAAAAATCCTTCGGTTTGGCCCAAAAAGAGCCTCATGTACAGTTGGAGCTAAGGATGATCTGGATGAAGATTAAATTTCAGAAGAGAGCTGCTGGGTCACCCTGCTTGCAGAGGAACACCTAGCCACTCAAAAGCCACTGATGCCAAAGTCCAACTGGGCCTACTTACTGCTAAGCTGGTGGCAGACCTTAGCATTGTCCATAAGATGATGGTTTTGAGGCACGTAGAACTCAGAGATAATGGGCTTGTGGAGGCTTCTGCTAAGATTTCAAAGCAAAGTCTTGGGAGGCAAGATCAAGATCCCTGCAAATGTATTGCCCTTGGAAGGATGGAACCTGAAGCTCTGGAGGTGAAGTCTAAGCTGCAAAGAAGACCCCGGGAAGTTAGATTCCAGGAAAGCTGCAGGCTGTAAGCACAGCCAGCCTGGGAGAGGGAACGTGGGGCTGCAGCAAGTGGGGCTTAGAGGTGGGGCTCCAAGCCTTTTGCACCCCGAATGCTGGATGCAAACCTACACACTACAGGGGCTGGACAGATGGGTCAGTGGTTAAGCACACTTGCTGTTCTTGCAGAAGATACTGGTTTGGTTCCCAGCCCTCCTCAGGCAGCTCATATTGATGTGTTTACATTAGCTCATATTGTTTATATACTCCAAATCCCTCTTCTGGCCTCCATGGGCACCAGGCACACATGTAGTACACATTCAGATAGGCAAAGCACTACATACATTTAAAAAAAACTTTTAAGATGGCTGCCATCTCCATATACCCAAAAGAAGCACATTCATACAACAAGGACATGTGTTCAACAATGTTCTTTTTGTTTGTTTGTTTGGTTTGGTTTTTCGAGACAGGGTTTCTCTGTGTAGCTTTGGAGCCTATCCTGGCACTCGCTCTGGAGAACAGGCTGGGGAGTACTACTGAGTACTACTCAGCAGAAAAAAAACAATGGAATCTTGAAATTTGCAGGAAAATGGATGGAACTAGAAGAAACCATTCTGAGCGAGGTAACCCAATCATAAAAAGACAAACATGGTATGGACTCACTCATATGTGGATTTTAGACATAGAGTAAAGGATTACCAGCCTACAGTCCACGCTACCAGAGAAGCTAGGAAACAAGGAGGACCCTAAGAGAGACATACATGGTCCCCTGGAGAAGGGGAAAGGGTCAAGATCCCCTGAGCAAATTGAGAGCATGGGAGGAGGGGGAGGGAGCTACAAGAATGAGAAGGGAAGGATGCAGAGGTCATGAGGGAGCAGAAAGGTTGAGTCAGGGGAAGAATAGAAGAAAGGATATGTGATAGGTAGGGATTTAGTTGGGGGGGGTGGTGGTAGGGGAAGACGGGAGGGAAAGGGGAACCAGGATTGGCATGTAAAACAATCTTGTTTCTAATTCAAATAAAAAATCTGAAAAGAAAAAAAAAATAAAGGACAACTATGCTACCAAAAAAAAAAAAAAAAAAAAAAAGATGGCTGCCATCTCTTTTGCAGCATCATGGCTGCCCTCCACCCTCTGGTGAAGCCCAAGATCATAAAAAAGGGACCAAAAAGTTCATCCGGCACCAGCCAGACCAATATGTCAAAATTAAGCAAAACTGGCGGAAACCCAGAGGTACTAACAACCGGGTTCGAAGAAGATTCAAGGACCAGATCCTGATGCCCAACATTGGTTACAAGAGCAACAAGAAAACCAAGCACATGTTACCTAGCGACTTCCGGAAGTTTGGGCTCACAATGTCAAGGAGCTGGAAGTGCTGCTGAAGTGCAGCAAATCTTACTGCACTGTGATTTTTCACAACGCTTCCTCCAAGAACCAAAAAGCCATCGTAGAAAGAGCAGCACACTGGCCATCAGAATCACCAGTCCCAATGTCAGGCTTCACAGCGAGGAACATGAGTAGATGGTTGGTCTGCATGTCTTATTTGTGTTTAAATAAAACCACAAAAACTGAAAAAAAAACTTTAAAATTTAAGCTATAGGATATATTTTCCCTGATAATTTCAATCTCAGTTTGGTCTAATACCTCTTTGATGTTTCTCTGTTCTCTTTTGAAATCAACATGGTTAGCAAATACCATTGTATCTTGGGAAAACAAATTTTTCTGCCTGGAGTCTCAAAGGAAAGTTTGATAGGACCTTTTAGCAATTTTAGAACCTTTGAGCTTCTTGAAGATAGGCTAAGTGGATTTTTGCTCTGAGATAAGCCTTCAGAGCCCACAGCAGAATAGCATGGTTTTGATATTAAAAGGTCTCAAAAGCTCCTGTATTGAAGGCTTGATCCCAAATGGTGACACTACCTGAGGTGACCAGATGCTAATTCTAGGGATGAGTTAATCCATTAATGGGTTTCTAGCCAAACAGGCTAGGGGAGCCTGATAGGAGGACAAAGTGTGTCTTTGCAGGGTACCTCTTATCCCTGGATCCTTTTTTTTCTCTGCTTTCTGTTTACTGTGTGGTGTGCAGGTTGGCTCTGCCACGTCCTTGCATCACGTGTGCGGGGTTGTGCCACAGCCTTGCACCATGATGTTCTGTCTCACAGCAGGCCCAGAAACAATGGACAGAGCCCTTTGAAACATAGACCAAAGAAAATCCCCCTGTTCCAGGCTCTTTTTCTCAGATATTTTGTCCTCTGAGACCTGGCCAGGGCCATCTCAGGGAAAAGGCAACTGGAGAATGGTGATGAGTTTTGTTTCTTCCTCTGTATTTAACTGTACTTTCAAAAAAAATGTACTCCTTGAAAGAAAGTCACAGAAGGACAAGTCCTGTGGGATCCCATTTCTATGAGGTGCCCATAGTCATCAAACCCATGGGGATAGAAAACAGAAAGTAAGTTCCAGGGTCTGGGAAGGGGATGGGGCTGTTGGGGTTGAATATGAAGGATGGATCATTTTAGAGAAGGCTGGTGGTGATGGCTAAATAACAAGGAGTGGATGCCTATAATGAACAGAACATTTTTAAATGGTAAAGATGGGACTGGTGAGACGGCTCAGCAGGTAAAGGTGCTTGCTGCCAAGGCCCACATCTTAAGTTCTAGTCCCTGGATGGATGGTGGAAGGAGAGATCCTGACTCCTACAAGCTGTCCTCTCTCTCTCTCTCTCTCTCTCTCTCTCTCTCTCTCTC